TACAATATAAGAAATAACTAAATACTAATAAATATAACTAATAATATAACTAAAATATAATAATAAAATAATAATAATATAATTAAAAATCTATCCTATAACAATAAAAGTATTAAAATTAGTATCTAATATTCCCTTTAGATATTTTGATAAATTTTAGCTTATGTGCTAGATACAATGCATATGAAAGGTATCAGAAAATTAAGCTATGATAGTACTATTAATTGCTGGGTCACTGTCTGTTACAAAAACCTTTAATACTAAGCTAGTTGTATCCTTTACATATTTAAAAACCCACTCATATGAAGATTGAGTTTCATTATCAATGATTGTTTGAGCTACAATTCATGTTTTTAAATTGTTGTCTGAAGTAACAAAAATTGATAAAAGCTAATTGTAGTAGTTAGTTTTGCATATATTATTATATATTATTACATCATAGTAATATAATTACAATATTTGCTACTCAGGGCTTATCCAAAAAAGATGGGTTAGAAAAGAAGTAATAGGATTAATTTTTACCAAAAACACCTAATAGGGATCTTTAATTTTTTTCTCATAAAGTCTTTTTAATAATACTCTAGTATCATCTTTTCTAGTTCTGAATTATGATAAAACTTACTAAGGGAATGAGCAGAAATCAGGTGATTTCAATTTATTATAGTGACCTACTCCCCCCTTCTACCTGACTAGTTATACAAGCTTATCAAATCAAATCACTTCTATTAAGACCTGACTAAACTGCTATACCTCCTCCCCCTCCAAGAAATCAGCTGATTTCTGCTCATTCCCTAATAGTGTTATAGAGGTCTGGTCTATATATTCTGGTTTTGTATTTCCCTGAATTACTTGATATTGTATTGTTGTATCTGCTTTAGCTATGACTATTAAGAAACGAATTTCTTCAACAATTTCTTTTGGTAGTTTCTTAATATCAGATTGAAATAGCTTGCTAATGGATAAAGTTTGTAGCTAACATATTCATTATTTAAGGCTGTAACTTTAATACAATTTTTATCCTTTTTAAACTAAATATTTACTTTTCATAAATATATTGTTATTAAATAAACCTAAACGAACTACCTCTTGTAGAGTGGAACTTGTCTTTATAATTTGTATAAAGAAACTTCCCTATTAGACACCGCTTCTTAAAATAATTAGATAGCCATGTCGCTGTTACTTATAGTGTACTAAGAAAGCTACACTATCTGTAACATTATGAAGAATTTTTATATAATAAGAAATAGTATAACAGAAAAAAAGTTTTTAAAAAGGTGAATAGTTTATGTTATGAAAATTAAAGTTTGTAACTAGATTTATATATCAAATTCAGGCTTAACATATTATTATAAAATAAGTTTTAATTATTTTATCTTATTATTTTATTTTATTATTTTATTATTAGTATTTTTATAAATAATTAGTTTTTTGAATATACT